TCCTTTTTCAGATAAAGAATTCAATATCCTATCAAATGGTAAACCCTGTAGTATTCAACCTGGAAACTTAAACAAGACAGGTATTCTCCTGCAAAGCGAAGCGTTGAGGCAGGCTCACAAATACGAGATCTTATTAGTGAAATGATCCCAGTTCGAACTGGCTGTCATAGATCTGTTCCATTTCTCATTTTTTCATTTCTTTAATTTCATTCCTGTCACCGAGTGTACACTCTCAAGGTGCACCGTTAATTCTTTAGATAGTCATATGGCTTTCCTTCTATAATCGCTGGAATGAGGCGGAGCCTAGTGACAAGTGGCGCGTCACCACTCCCGCGCTCCTGGGTTGAAATCCCGAGACGGCTCTCGGTCAGGCAACCAAGTCTTCTATCCTTCGGGAACGGTAAAGTGGTACCAAGCTCGTTTGGGAGGATAAGAACACCGACTCGTATCAGCTGACCCCGCAAGTCATTTTAGGATACATCGCATTCTGAGCATTCAGAGCCACAACGATTCCGATGGATGTAGAATGCTTGCCGCATCCCAAAAAAGGATCTCGCCGGCGAGAACTTTATCCTTTATCTTTTTGACTGCTGGAATCCAAATTGTCTATTCCATTCAGAGTTATCGTCGGACGCATGTGATGTGCTGGAGAGTAATGTAGGGAGTTCAACAAAGAGTCCTAAACTGAAAATACTTCGCAGATCAAGTAGGCTGGAAGCTGAATAGACCGACATCAATTACACTGCAGTTTGGAAATGCTCAATAGAAGCGGTTCCAGTGGTCGCGCTGTGTTGGGTTCACCACCGCAACTAATCGGACTATGAGGCAATGGCTCAACTGCCTCGTCAAAGGCGGCATGAGCTGAGGAATTCAACTTTCCACGTGGTTTGAGCGAATGTGTGAAATTCCCTTCCCTTGAAATTGAATGTTAGAACTGAGAGTGCATCTGGATGCTATTTCGAGAGGAGCAAGCAACTGACACAACCGTAGCAACATTGCTTCTCATCTGAATGGACTAGGCTACTGCAATCTGATGTCTCTAGGGACATCGCATGCACTACCACCTCCGAACGAACCATTGACTATCCGCAACACTTCATCACCTAGCCACCTAGTTTCTCAAGTCGATTCAAAGATAAGAGCTGGCTTCACCTTGGGAACAACAAGCAATATGTCATTTGACTGATGCGAGCTCAAGACCACTTCAACCAAAGGCAGGATTCCAAAGTCGGAGGATTACGCCCCTTGTTTTCTAAATCTGACAAGGCGTGCAATTTTAAGAACAGCTCGAATACAATCTGTCAGAAAGCGTATACCTACATGGAACTGTTCCGGAAAAAGGTCACAGGAATGCGCAAATGGCCACCTATACTGATCGATGGTGGTTGTATTGCTGGCCAGATGTAGATCAGAGCAGAAAAAAAACCCGAATAAACAATTAAGAACTAAATGTAAGATAAACACGCTCACTGGAACTCAAAAGCCGCAAATAAATGGTCGAATCTCAGCAAACTTTCTTTGATTGCATCGGTGTAAATGAGAGGATCCCGGAGCGACTGATCCTGAAAAACTCAATGCAGGTTTAACGGAGCATGATAGGTGATGATAATTTGTGATACCTTCAGAAGATCACGAAGTGAGTCGAGGTGACGAGTGAGCTCCTTGGCAAGAGGACGGATAGCATCGGACTCAGATTCATGATCAATTATGGTGGACCCAGCTGCCAGGCACTGAATAATGGTAGATAATGATTTCTATCGATGTCAGCATGAAGACGCTGCTTAGCAACCTATAATAATCACAATGTAAGGTGCCTATTAACGAGGGAGGTAGTTCGACATGAAGCGGATTCTGGAAACGGCGCGCACCACGTGGTAGAGGCCCATTCATGAACCATACAAACCAGGTTTTCACTGTGCGCCTCTGAGTTCGCCAAACTCTGAGTGGAAAAATGTGAAGGGAGGCCAGTATTAAAGACACATGGTACGCTCAAGCACATTGAGGGTGTATGAGACTATCAGCCCCCCAGCTGTCGATGTGTCGTGGTCCCCTCGCCCAAAACTGCACGGGATCAGAGAACGTGACCGTGGGAAAGTCGTAACTCCTTGCTACGCCGCCCGTTTTTGCAAACTCACGTTTTTACTAACACTGTTTGCGCGGCGCGGTCGCGTGCAGCTCTCTCGGCTTTTTGCCAAATCCTGTAATTGCGCTCTGGAATACAAGTACAAAGCAATCTTAGTACAAAGCAGCATTCTTTATATGCGGATAACATTTTAGGTGCTGCAAAATAAGAAGTGAAGATGATGACAAGGGCTAGAACTCAAGGGCAACTGTGGTGCTTCTGCAATAACCTACTATATATAATCCGCTAAGTTTGTCTGTTGGTGTTTGTGTGTGTGTTTGTGTGTGTGTT